AGGCTGATGCAAGAGCCAAAAGTTATCTAGCATCATGCCGTGCTGCCCAGTCCGTCATTGTGTACATACAATGTGGTTAGCCATACCGACGTGCATGCTAGACCCGGGAAGCGGGAACCCCTCCACGCCGTCATAGCCGCGGCCGTTGACCAGCAAGTTTGCAATTCCGCATCCTCATCGACGATACATTCCCATGTACTCTTTTCGGACCGGAGACATCCAGCACTGGGACCCAAAGTTCGCATACCCCAGCGGCTAGCCATAACACCAAAGTCAACTTTAATGCGTTGGTGTTTCGTGACGGTGCTGAGGCCCTCCTCAACATACCCCTCACTCAAGACACCCTCAGCTCAGACGCCTCTGCCCCAAGTAAATTCTCCGCAAATCCAGACACGCTCCTACGGCAGATCTCGCCGCCGATCCTGTCCGAAAACTAACATACATACCCGCTCAACACCATACCGAGTATTATGCTGCGTCTCGCTCTTGAGCGAGCGAGTTGAGAAGCGCCTGTCACTGCGGTAACGCAGAAACAGTCGCCGACAGTATGACGAGTTTACCGCCACTATCGTAACCACACTGCACTCCACTTGACAACTCTACCGATAATGAGCCAACTAAAGCTTACATCTGACCCTCTACGTGCGAACAAATAAAAACACATTCTTTTTGATCCACCCCGTACTCTACCTCACCGAACAACGGCGAAAGCGAAAAGAGCCACCACACTAGATCACGATGTCCCAAAATCTGAAACACATCTGGGTGGAGTCGTACGCAGTTCCCAACCACCCACAACCACGCACGCACAAAGAAGCGGTAAGCAGAAAAGGCACCAAAACAGCAAGCAAAGAAAAAAAATCAACGTGTACCAACACCAGCGGTCAACCCAATAAGCGGGCCGCTCCCGGCAATCAATCGGTGTCCTTTGCTCCGTTCACACCAACAGCCCGTCCGTCTCATCCCCCCCCCACTTCCGCTACACACCAAATCCCAACACGTGCACACTTCCACCACAACACCCACATAACAATCCGCATTCTAGACCCTTGATTCCCACATTTCTCGCCTGCCTAACACGTGCAACACACCGGTAGATCGTTGTCTCCAAACGAAACGGCGCATCTGCAGCTGTCAGGCCAGGTCATGCGCGGTAGGTGCGGGTAAGGCGACGCGCGGGTGTACCAGGGTGAAAGGAAAACACAGTGACAGGGGCGATGAGGGGCATAGGGGACCGGGTATGCTGGTATAGGGACAGCGATCATAGTAGATGGGAGGAAGTCAAGCGGGAGGTTTTGTGCTGTTGCGGTTTAGTGGCGGTACACATGTATGCATGAAGTGACAGGGCTTGGGGCGTTTTCTTTCACGTGTGTTATGCGAGTATGACTGGAATTATGAGGTGGGTTTGCGTGGTGGGGGATGTGTATGGTAGCCGGTGGGTGTTTTGGCGATGGGAACGCGGTATGCGGAGGGAGGCGTGTGGACTGTGGATACGTGTGTTGAGGGGACTTGATGGTAAGCGATTGGTTGGAGGTGGTGTTGTTGGCTTGGACGGTTGCTTGGCTGTTGCTGGCTGCACGTGAAGATGGTGGTAGAAGTATCATATCAATCATCATATAAAGTTGATACAGTAAATATGTAAGCACGATCAAGAATCAAGTAGTTTGAAGTGGCATGATGTGTTGTGTTTGACAGTGCAGTTCTTTGTATGTACTACCATCACATGTCGACATTGGCAATTCGCACTGTACCACTAATGGTGGCTTACTCCTACAACATGTCACCTCGTTTATATCATCCAAGTTCTTCAATGCTAGGTTGGGGTCAGCATGAGCTCGTGAGGAGTCACCAGTTGCACTTACGTCGACGTCGTCCCAACCACGACCCTTTACGTTTGCCAACTCGTCCATCGACATAACATGGCCGGTTGTGACTGCGACATCCTGTTAGTAGTTGCCCAAAGCATCAGAGGGAGTGGAAGCTTACAGTAGCCAGCTTGAATCTTGGCATCAATCTCGACACGACTGTCCGCGGGGATCATGTCGTCGGGAATGGGTACACGCTCATGGATAGGAATGCCTTGATCGACAATAGCATCGTGCTTCATGTTGGACATGCTGAGCATTCTGTCAATCTTGGTGATACCCAGCCAGTGCAGGATATCTGGCATCAGAGCCTGGAAGCGCATGTCCTTGACACCGGCAATGTTCTCGGTGCGCTTGAAGTACTCGCTGGCACGGTCTTCGCCTCGCTTTCTGGCGTTGTAGACGAGGTATTTTGTGACCTCACCCAGAGCACGGCCTTCCTTGCGGAAGTAGATGACAACACCGCTGCCACCCTTCTGGGCCTCTTTGACTGCTTCTTCAATACCAAAAGTCAGGTAGGGACGGCATGTGCAGATGTCAGATCCGAATACGTCACTTCCGTTGCATTCGTCGTGGATACGGAGGGCGAGCTTCGCACTGGGGTCGGACATCTTTGCTGGGTCACCGAAGATGTAGACTGTTAGACCGCCAATAGGAGGGAGGAAGAGCTTGATGTCGTGACGGGTGATGAGCTCTGGGTAAGAACCACCAGTCTCTTCGAATAGTGTCCTGCGCAAAGTTCCCTCGTCTTTAGAATACGTTAGTGGATGTAGTCAGAAATGCATTTCGACCCACTTACCAATGTTGAAACGCTCAGCAACACCAGGCAGGTACCATACAGGCTCGACTGCGACCTTGGTGACCGCAACCTCACCAGTCTCGTTGACGCAAATCTTGCCATCGGGAACGAGCCTGCCTTTCCTTACACTCTCCTCAAGTTCTGGCACTTTCATGTGTGCTCTGGTGATGGCAATGGTAGGTCTGATCTCAACATCATCCTTATCCATGGTTTCCTTGTACAGCCAGGGTGCGAGATGGCCGTATGGGTCCATGGCCACAATCTTCTTTGGGTCGCTCCATTGCGGGAAAGGACCGATCTTCGCGGCAGGCTCAGTGTTGGTGAAGTCTGGCTTGTGTGTGATGTCGAGGTTCTTGCTGGCGACAGCAAGGGCGTTGTAGATGGAGTATGAGCCACCATGAGCACCGATAGCTACAAAATGTTAGAAACTAAATGTATAGTCGTTTAGATGTACGTACCGTTACGTCTTCGGATAGTGTTCGCATGTCTTGACACAACGACAGGGCCACGAACAGCAGGGTCCTTGGCACCCCACTGCATTGGCAACGGGTCGACACCGGCTTGGCCGGGATACGAAGTCAAGATGATCTTTGAAATCTTGGATACACTCGTGCGACGTGGTTGGGCATCAGCATTTGAAGGTGGCTGCTCATACTGCTCGCTAACAGCTTCTACGGACTTCTCTGGCTCAACTTCCTTCGCCTTCTCGCCGTCCAGCTTGCCATTGGCAGCTTCACTTGCTGCCTCGTCCTTGATTTGCTTGATGCCTGCCAGCATGTTCACACGGCCGTTGATCTTGTCGACTGAAGCTGCCAGTACGGAGTTCTCCGAACGGAGCGCCTTGAGCCCATCGAGAATCTCCTTGAGGACAGCATCGCTGGTGGTGCTTTCAGTAGACATGTTTGGTAATGGAAAACCTCATACAAAGTAGTACAGGATCTCTGATCTTAAAGGCAAATAGCAATCGCGATTGCTGCGTTGGTATCGAGTCGTGAAACAAAGACCGGTGAGCTCCGGTGGTAGGACGAACACGCAAGATGATGAAGAAGTGGGTAGCGGACAGAGTCACAAACACAACTTTGAACAAACGTCAAAGGGGACCAGAAGAATCCAGAGAAGGAGGAGAAAGAGGGAAGAGGAGGATCAACGTGGTCAGATATTAGGAGCTCGCCGGCGGTGGCAGCAGCGAACAGCTGACTACACACGTGCATGATGGTCGCGGCGAGCGCTGATAGGAGCGGGGGCGCTTATCGGCTATCGACGTATGCGGCAGCTGCAAGGGAGCGACAGGGATCTTGGCGGTCGGAACCACGCGAGACTCGAGACGCATTCAAGCCAAACTCGCGATTTCGCGTCACTGCACACGACAACGGCGCGACAAGCACCAAACACGGCTCTGGATATCCCCACCACAATCGCTACTTAACAATTACGTGTACACACACCTTCCCCATCTGGTGACTCTAACCAACGCGAAGAATGGTGCGTTCCTCCCGGCTTCACGGTATCGCAGGCGCAAACTAACAGCAATGACAGGGCAAGCGCAAATCCTCCAGCAAGCCTCAAGGCCCCAAGAAGGCAAGCTCTACCCTATCCTCCTGATGCCCCGCCGACTAACACCCCTGTAGAAGGAGAAACTCCCGACCACCTTCCAATGTCTCTTCTGCAACCACGAAAAGTCCGTCAGCGTCTCCATCGAGAAGAAGTCGGGTGTTGGCAACCTGCAATGTAAAGTGTGCGGCCAGACCTTCCAGACCAACATCAACTACCTCAGTGCGCCCGTCGACGTGTACGCCGACTGGATCGATGCATGTGACGCCGTCGCGAAGGAGGCAGCCAAGGGCAGCGTCGAGACGGCGCGGAGTACAAATCGCATGGGCAGGATGCCGACGGCGCACAACCAAGAAGACGACGACGGCGACGGCGGCTTCATCGAACACGACGAGCCTGACGCCGAGGGCGAGTACGCGGACTGAGTTGCCCGGGGGCCATCGCGCGAGGGCGACCAGGCGTGAAGGCTTCAGGCCTTGTATAATACATGGGAACATGGGGAGCGGATCATGGCTTGCATGGCGTTTAGGATACCAAAAAGGATCCGCAGATTCACGGTGGCGTTTCATTATCGTCGTCAGCGTCAGGCTCAGTGTGTTCACGGTTAGCTGAACGCAGCCTGTAGAAGTGTACACAGTAATCAAGCGTGTACATCAATGACCCTGGTACGCCTATAATCATGTGGTTTTCTTTGAACGAAACCATGCTACTACATGCCCAACTAAACCTAAGCCGCCCTGCGCCCAGCAAATGCTATCGATGAACCGGAGATGCTGTTGATTTCTTTACATGGTGTAGAAACGGTCGCCAAAGTCACCCAGTCCAGGGACGATGTAGCTACACGTCATATTAGTATGGAGCGGTTAGGAGATGGGAGTAAACATACTTCTTCTCGTCCAGACCCGCATCAACAAAGGCAGTGACTACCCTCACCTTGGGGAACTTATCCGCAAGGTTTTGCGCGCCTTCTGGGCTGGCAATGAGGTTGAGGAAGAGAATGTGCTCCTCTGGCACGCCCCGCGACTTAAGCACATCGATCGCCATGAGTGCCGAACCACCTATCTCCATCAGCAGTGCTTACGCAAACACGCCTTGTGTACTTACCAGTAGCCAGCATAGGATCCAGCAACAAGACCCATCTGTCGGCGATGTCCTCGGGCAACTTGTCGTAGTACAGTTTCGGCTTACTAGTCTCCTCATCCCTCTGGATCAAGATCTTTCCAATGCGTACGCTCCTACAGCAGTCCCTCAAACCCTGCTCCATGGACTCCCCCGCACGCATAATCGAGACACCGCAGATCTTGCCCTCGAACTTGACACCGGAGTAGGTGCGACCTACTGGGGTGGTGATCTCCTGGGACTCTGTTGGCAGGTGGTTGAGGCCTTCTTCGACAAGCAAACGGATTATGCGGTTGCTGTAGAAGATAAAATCTGCGCGGCCGGTATTGCGATCACGTATCATGCTTGAAGGTTGTTAGTATGGGTCTTTGTGCTCGACCATGGTGTTAGTCATGGTTCACGGGGCTCTTACGTGAGCAATGCTATCAGCTGAGGGGATTGAGGTAGGATGTGGACATTGGCCTGCTTGAGGGGAGTTGAGACGGTAGCTGTTGGTTTCAGATTTGAGGGACGGTATTCGGGGCCCAGGGATTGGGAAGGTGGATGCGAGTCGGAAGACATGGTTAGGGGGAGGCTGAGGATGGTCAGTCAAGGTCACGTAGCAGGAATCTGGTAGTATGGATATGTTTCAGCGCCAAAATACAGCATCTTAGGAGAAGCGTTTGGGAACATGCAGACGTAGTTACAGTCTAAAATAAGCTTACCGGCGCGTGAATGTGTGAGCAGAGCTTGTGCTGTTGGAACACAATTTGATGTTGTGGGGTGGTAAGAATGAGATGGAGGTGAGAGCAAGACCAAACGATACAGCAGACTTTTATCAATGGATACGATGTCCAGATAAGAGGCAGGAAAGAGGAGCAGGAGCGTAGGTGGGCTAACAGTCTAGGCTCGTGACCGTCGGCGAAGTCCTTCACTCTGTTTGGGAAGGAGCAACCCATGCCCCGCTGTTTAGCGTGCCTGTCGTTCGGGACCCTGCTTGGATCACCAGCCACCATGCAAACAGCCGCTTTGAGCATTTCACTGTGACTGTCATGATGTCGCGACAATGAGAGAATAGGTTTGCGGTGAGCGAACGCGTGGACCGACGCTATCAAGCTGAATGAGAGCGGGTGCCGAGACAAGCCATCCACGGTCCCTGGTGCCACCCGCCTGCTGCGAGATGCGCGTCTGAGCCAACTTTGGGAGCGTCACCACAACACGCCTACGCACCGACATGGCCACGACCATGTTCGCCAATTTCACGTCCGGCGACCGTCGCAAGAAAGTCTACGGCAAATCCGCGCGTCGCTCCACCCTGCCGCCGCCCCTTCCTGATTCCAACGATGATGCGCCGCCATCCCCAGACCGACCGCGGAAACATCCCGCAGCCTTGAATGGCTCGCTGAAGAAGGCCGGAGACACATTGAAGGCCAGCACGGGTCTGGAGAATGCGCGCGCAAGGACCGACGATGTCGACGTCTTCGATGTACCCTCTGATGACGACTTCATGTCGCGCCCGAAGCCCGCGAAGAAGATCGTAGCGAAACGTCGGGCACCTGAAGCAGCCTTGGAAACCTCAACTTCTTCTAGAGGGGAGGCCGTGGTGGCATCCAAGAAGCCAGCAAAAGCCTCACAGCCATTGCGCAAGCCTGACGACGCGAATACTGCCACCGTAAAGAAGACGCTGCCGACGCCCGCGCAAGTTGCAAAGCCCGTACAGGCACCGCCACCGCCATCCTCGGATACGATCGCACCTCGGACACTACGCAGGAAGACGCCTCAGCCTGTGGGAGCACAGAAACAGACGGCAAGGGACCCGGAGTCATCACAGAGGCCGGTGGCCAAGGCAAAGGCGTCTTCCGAGACGACGGCCGTTGCGCCGACAGCGACCAAGGCGCAGAAGAATGCAAAGATAACCTCGGCACTACCTGCGAAAAAGACGGCAGGAAAAGCTCTTGCCAAACCGACCGATGACCTCGCTGTGTTTGATATACCGATGTCGGACGAGGAGGCTCCGCCAACAGTCAAGAAGATCTCACGTCAAGCTCCGCAGAAAGCACGTAAAGAGCCTCCCGGGAAGTCCAAGACAACATCGGAAGAGTCTCACAAGGACACTACCGAGTCGGACGAGTCGAATGCATCGAACAAGCGAAAGCGCAAAGGGTCCATGTCGTCGACTGCCACAGTGGCTGCATCAGTGGTACAACAGACGAGTGAACAGTCGGCGCAGCAGCGGAGCCGGAAGGTTCAGAAGAACGAAGAAAGTGCTTCACCGGGGCATGCATCACTATTGCAGCCCGTCGCAGGCGCAACACGGAAAACGCAACCGCCAGCGCTGGCACTCAACAAACCGACAAGGACGAGGCAACGTACCGTACCTGTCATGGCACCGCGAAAGATGACCAAGGGCCAGTCCTCCCCTGCTACTCTGAGCGGCATGATACCGAATCGCCAGGCCACCAGGCCATCTCCTGTTAAGAAAATCCCAGACGTGCCTGAGATGGAAGACGAGACTATGTATGACATACCAGATCCGTTGACCACCCCTGTTCGGAAATCCAGACCTATCGTACCTGGCTCCGTGACACCGCGACAGAGAGATCTCTTCAGCGGCTTGCTAAGCGATTCATCGTCCTCTGCTACACCAATGCCAAGCCTGGCGAACTTACAGCTGACGGATCGCAAACCGAGATCACTTATCGGTAACCTGGCAAGATCAAAGTCTGATGTCACTCACAGTGCCAAGGCCCGTAAGAGCAGACTCATTGACACTCTTAAACCAACCGAGACCAGCTCGGACGATGACGAAGAAGACAGCAGCAGCGATGGTGGAGAAGAGTCTGAAGCAAGCTCAAAACATTCCTCGTCTGCAAGAAGATCTGTACGAGAAGTCGGAAAAGAGCAAGCTTCAACGGCGTCCTCTGACGACATGGATGTGGACAAGCAAGCGAATGTGGACTCACAAACATCGCAGACAACGTCTGGTTTCGGCATGCGTCCAAAGCTCACTTACGCAATGGCGCGGTCGTACCTAAAGGAAGACAATCCAGAGGATGACCTACTGATCTCGATGGATCTAGACGATGGCTTTGGGTCTCAGTCCCAGATGGATACCAGATCTGTATCCGAGGATGACCCCGAGCAGAACAGTCAAGCACAGGCTCAACAAATTCACGAGCTCAAGACACGGGGGCGTAACATGATCATCGGATATGAGATCGAAATGATGATCGGAGACATATCCGTTACCAACAGTAAGAGTATGAGGCGTAGCGCAATGATTGATCTGTGCACCAAGATGGCCGATGAGACGTTCTGTCATCAGCTTGTCGACTCGGCTCTGGCCCATCAGTTCTTCCAGAACATCGCCGGCGGTCGCGAGATTATCTTCGACTTTGTCGCTGCCGTCGCCACAGTATTTATCCTCCGTACCAACCCTACCCACTCTGTCCTAGACGAGTTACAGGAGACCGGCAGTTTCGCTCACTTGATCGAGCTAGCCAGCAATGATGCGGATATCAAGGAGATCGCCAAAGATCGCAAGTCGAACATGTCTAAGATTGCTAAGGAATCGGTATTCACGTTTCGCACCCTAGTCCAGCAAAGCTCTATCTGGTCATCCAGCGTAGTACAGAAGATATCCCCCCAGCTTGTCGCGCTGAAAGCTATCGAGTTGCTCATCATTGGCATGCGGAAGGCTGGCAATGCTGATAAGCTACTTGATCAAACGATGATCTCCCAGCTCGTTGAGATGGCTTCGAAATCGAATGATCGGTTGCAATCGGGCAAGGAGGGAAGCGCGGACAAAATATGCCTGGAAACAGTACTTTCCATACTGGAGTCAATTTCTGCCACAAGGCAGATCCAAGCCTCCTGGCCGACTGGTGTGCTTCAGCGTATTGCGGGCTTTATGCCTCGGTTCTTCCAGCCTGACAGCGCTGCATCAACTATGCTCGCTGTCAGGCTATGCATGAACCTGACGAACAACAAGCCAAAGGCTTGCCAGCCGTTCTCAGCAATGGCTTTTGTGCAGCCGTTGACGCATTCCATCGTTGGAAAGTTTGAGTCGATCAGTACGGGGCTAGCAACGGAAAAGCGGACAGAGGTTTTGGATAGTCTCATCTTGAGCTTGGGTGCTGCCATCAATCTTGCGGAGCTGAGCGACGAGATGAGGTTTAACGTCGCTGATCAGATTGACGCTCTCGTCGCCATCTTCCTAGAGGGTTCAAAGCGTGCTTCACAGGTATGTACGCGTTCAGCAGTCATGCTTTCAGCAATGCTAACCCTGCTTTAGGCTGCTTCTGTGGAAGAATCGCATTCTGGTGTAGCCATTGGATATCTTGCCGTGCTCCTTGGTAATCTGAGTCTCAACGACCAGATAAGGGCAAAGGTCCGCACGCTGCTACCGAACAAGCGACTTGACACCCTTGTCGATAGCATCAAGGAATTTGTCCGTGTGCACCAACACGTTGACCAGAAGGCAGGAAATCTTGAGGGAACAGAGGGTCAAGAGGCTTTGCAGTCCTATACGGCGCGCCTCATGCTTGTCGTGGAACGGTTACAGAATGCGAGCACTTGATGGTGCAGAGATGCAGAGGCTTGACTCCGGTATCCCGCCTGGGCATTGATTTATTACTGATCAGACGCACTTTGCCTTTACTTGATTATCCCTCGGGTTGTTTACCATTGGGCAGCAAGTCGTTTCCCTCTTGACAGGTAGGTTCTTATTGGTTAGGCTTTTAATGGCTATGGCATGATACCCCGAATTACGCGTATGCGGTCATTGCTGGGAAGGGATCGCTTGTATTGTATATAAAGATTTCGATACCCCAGCATCTTGGACAGAGATGTGAATAGTAACGGTCGTGCAGCGAGGCTCTTCAGGCTAGCAAATAACCCGTAGCAGTTATATGAGAAACCTGCAAGCTTATACTGATTGAGCGACATGTCGTCTATTCGTCGCCGCTATCCGCTCGTATTCCCATCGCGTAGGCAGTAGAGGCTAAATGAAGGCTTGTAACCTCGCACGTACCCGTCTGTAAGGCTGCACCCGACCCAGAAGGCCGGCTCAAGTGACGCAACAGCCGGCATGTGGAGTGGCTCTGCCGTCGGGGCAATTTGCGAGATGCCTTCTACAGAACTTCCATGCAGCGGGCGTGTAATATCCGGGCGAGCAACTTTTTTCACTTTTGCAACGACTTGCATGTGATGGTTTCGCCTTGAGTCAAGAACGCCCGACATCATTTCGGTTAAGTTGTATGCTCGGGGCATCGGGAAGGGCAGCAATAGTTTCTGACATTTCGGAGGTTCTTGTGGCGCTGAGTGGTTGTAGGTGAATGGAGTATCTGCAGGTAGTGTGCTGGACAGGTTTGCGCTAGGCTCGAGACGATTGGCAATACGTAAATGAATGCTTCGAGAAGCTCTGGATTCGTCGGCTACGGGGTGCACTGTTCGGCTTGGATGGCCAGAACTGCGGAACCCAATACCAGCTGCTCGGTGCCAAACCCAAAGCGATATATCATGGTTGCCCAACTTTCATATGCGGACGCGAGTCGTTGCTGCTATATCGAGATGGGAGCCGG